GCTGTTCTTTCTAGGTGCCTCTGGGTGGACTCAAACCTCCGACCTTTTGGTTAACTGCCTGCATTATCCAGAGATTCCTCTGCCTAACTAAGATCCATTCATTCCATTTATTCAGCAACCACTTATTATACAGAAGACAGTGTTTTTCAAACTGGAAATTCTGAACCTCTACTGGATTATAAAATTAATTTACGTCACAACCAGCATTTTATTAAAATGAAGTAAAAAAGAAAACAAATAGTATGAACTAGAATTGTTCACAAAATTTCTTATTTTTAGATATATATACTAAATCATAAAGTCAATCATATTACTTGTTGTGGTTTGCAGTCAAAAAGTTTGAAAAGCACTAAGAAACATGCTAAACTGAGCTGTCAAAAAAGCAACCTGTTGATAAATGAGGAACGACTACACAATGTAGACATGTCTCTAATTTACCATAATTTAACCAGTTGCCATTGATTCCAACTCATGGCAACCCTGTATGTTTCAGAGTAGAACTGCGGTCCACAGGAGTTTCCAATGGCTGTAACCTTTCAAAGGTAGATCGCCAAGCCTTTCTTCCAAGGCACCTCTAGGTAGATTCAAAGCACCAACCTTTCAGTTACTAGCTTAATCATCTGCGCCACTGAGGGACTCCACTTACCATAATCTAGTTACTTCTATACACAAATGAGGAATTTGCCATCAAAACCACTTCAGATACAATTCTAGGTTTTTCCTTCAAATTCATAAAGAAAACATCACATATTTATTTGATTCATACTTCAAGTATTTGTTGAGCACATACCATGTGCCAAGCACTGGCAATACACCCACTCAGGCAGCACTCCTCTCCTCATGGGGCTTACAGGCTACTGGGGGGAGCAAATTAAAAAAACAGTAACTAAGTAAAATTACAAACTGGGAAAGCAGTGTGCTAAAGAATAAAGGGGAAGGGGACACGTAAGAAGGGATGAGCACATTTTAGATAGCTCAAGGAAGGCCTCCCTGAGGAGCGTGAGCTCTGACAGATGACCGGTCAGTACTGGCAAAAATGAGGGTAGAAAAAAAAAAGAATGAGGATAGGAGCAGTCCATGTATACGAGCAGCTCTCAAACCTTTTGTTCTCAAAATTATTCAGGATCTTAAAAAGCTTTTGTTTATGCAGATATTTATTAATATTTACCATCTGCTATGGACTGAATTGTCTCCCCCCAAAATCTGTGCTGTAAATCGTAACTTCTATTCCTGTGGTTATAATCCCACTTGGTGTAGGGTGTGTCTTGAGTCAATCTTACAAGATATACAAGAAGTAGGTCAGGAAGACATATGGAGGAACACATATGCCAAGCCACATGAAAATTACCCAGGAGCAGAGAAGCTCAGGAGAGACAACGACCTTCCCCCAGAGCTAAGAGAGAAAGCCTTCCCCTAGAATCGGCACCCTGAATTCAGACTTCTAGCCTCCTAAACTATGAGAAAATAAATTTCTGTTTAGTAAAGCCACTCACTTGTGGTATTTCTGTTACAGTAGCACTAGATAACGAAGACAGAATTTGGTACTTGAAGAGTGCGGTGCTGCTCTAACGGATACCTAAAATGTGGAAGCAGTTTTGGAATTGGGTAATGGGTAGAGGCTTAAAGAGTTTTAAGGTGCCTAACAGTAAAAGCCTAGATTGCCTTGAAGAGACTGTTGGTAAAGTAACAGACACTGAAGGGAACTCTGGTGAGGGCTCAAAAGGAAGTAAGAAGAGCTAATAAACAATCTCTATTGCCTTAAAGAACACATATGGCACCAGCAATAGAATGTTGCTAGAAATGTGGATGTTAAATATGCTTCTGGTGAGGTGTTAAAAGAAAATGATGAACATGTGATTGGACAATGGAGGAAGGGCGATGCTTTTTATGCAGTGAAAAATAACTTGTCTGAATTACGCTCAAATGTTTGGTAGAAGGTAGGACTTGTAAGTGATGAACTTGGATATCTGGTTGAGGAGATTTCTCAGCAAGATCTTTAAGGGGCGGTGTGGTTTCTCCTTGCTGCTTAGAGTAAAAAGCAAGCGGAAAGAGATAAAAATAAAAATGAACTGTGCAAAGTGAAAGCAGAACTTAAAGATTTAGAAAATTCTGTTGTACAAACATGTCCTAGAATGTTCACCAAGGACATGGCTATACAATCTTTTTCTTAAAGAGATTAAGCCTGTGACTGATGGGTCTAACCAACTACCACAGCAGAAAACCAATTAGCTTTAACTGAAGGGGACAGAGAAAGAAGGAAAGAATGCTGTCTGCCTCTTGGAATTCTACAGACAGGAAAACAGGCCAGAGGAGCTACAGCTATTGTCCTCCAAGAAAAGGAAAAGACCATCCCTGGAGCAGCTCAGAGATCAGCAGAATTGTTGGAAGGAGCACAGGAAGCAGGGCTGCCTTGGTTTCAAAGGGTGGGGCCACGGTCTCCTGGATCTCAAAAGGTGGAGCCACAGCCTCCTAAGTTTCAGAGAGCTGGATCTTTGCCAACTAGGTTCTGGAGTGTGGTGTTACAGTCAATGTGTGCCGGGGGAATGGGGCCACCACCCAAAGCTGAGAGCCCAGGGCTGCCATGCCCAAAGGGAAGAAGAAGGGGGCCCCAGGGGTAAGCACTCAGATGGACTAGGAGAATGGGGCAACCTAAAGCCATGGGAGCAGAGCTGCCATCCCAGAGGATCTGCAAGGCAGAGCTGAAGCCCAGGGCTGAGGGGCCTCCACCCAGAATCCAGATGGTGTGGCCAACACCCAGAGTCTGGAGGATGGGGCCATGGCCCAGATAGTCCCAAAGGACAGAGGATTATTTTCAAGCCTTGAGAGCTAATGTAAATTGTTCTGCTGGGTTTTGGACTTGCTGGGTGCCTGTTATCCCTTCTTTCCCTCCAGTTTCTCCTGTCTGTAATGGAAATGTCTACCTTGTGCTTGTTCCACCATTGTACACTGGTAACAGATAACTTGTAGTCTAGATTTCACAGGTACACAGATGAAGAGAAATTTTGCCCCAGCATGGAATATACCTAAAGTCTCACTCATATTTGATTTAAATGCTTCAAAAGATGAGATTGATTTAAGACTTTTGGGATGATGTGATGGGGTGAAAGTGTTCTGCATGTGGCAAGGACATGAATTTTTGAAGGCCAAAGGGTAGAATGTTACGGATTGAACTGTGTCTCCCCAAAATACGTGTTGTAATTCCTAATCTCTATGCCTGTGGCTATAATCCCATTTGGAAATGGGCTGTCTTTGTTAATTAGTGTAGGGTGTATCTTGAGTCAATCTATTTGGAGATATAAAAGACTTTAAATAAGCAAGCTAAGAAGCAGAGCTGGAGGAAGAGAGATGCCAAGCCACATTAAGACTGTCCAGGAGCAGAAGCTCAGAACAGGCAAGGACCTTCCTCGAGAGCCAAAAGGGAGAGAAAGCCTTACCCTAGAGCCAGCACCCTGAATTAAGATTTCTAGCCTCCTAAACTGTAAGAAAATAAATTTCTGTTTGTTAAAGCCACCCACTTGTGGTATTTCTGTTACAGCAGCAATAGATAACTAAGCAGACCATATCAGAAATTAAAAATGAGAATTTTTTTTAAAAGAATACACAAGCACGTATTCCATTAGCCATCAGTGCAATGACATCTTCATATGTCACACAGCCTCTAGGAAACTCCACAGTACACTACTGAAAAGAGGAAAGGGAAAAATGCAAATAACATCATAATATTATTAATGAAAATAGCTTTGACCCTGTGGTCCCCAAACTACATTTCGAGAATCAGTGCTCTAAAATGCATGACAACTTTGATCCCCAGAAAGTAACCAAGTAAGAAAAGTAGACAACATATTTTTGAAATTTAACTAGAAAGCCTCAAACCTAACACACAGAAAATCATCTATTTAAACTAAAAGGACAGAAAAGTGGCATTCACCAAATCATCCCGCCAGAAGCGACATTCTTGCATTAGTCTCTGTAGCCTTATTTTTTCATTTTGTCATACAAATGTTTTGCTATTGGGACCAAAATTCCTAAGTAGGATTACTGCAATGTACCCATATGTAAGCATTACTAAGAAATACCTCTGGAGTAAACACTAGAATGATTTTTAAATGTTTCAATAATGAGAATCAATCTCCTCAAATTATTTTGTTTTGAATACTTTACCATACAAAGGTCTCGTTTACAAAAGTTTTCAAAATAATCATGAAAAAGTCACTTTCAAGTATCACCTACCTTTCTATATTTAAAAAAAAAAAAAACAACTTTTTTTAATCAGAAAGTGATTTTACCTAAAACTTGAGATAAACGCTCTATTAAAATCATTTATGCTTGCAAAACAAGACAAACTACCCAAAGGAACTATCTAAACCTTTTTTGTCCTGTTTTCACCTGTGTAAGATGCTAATAACGAAATACTAACAAATGTTTTTTATCAGACAGTAAACGAGTTAATGTAAAAATAGACGAATTACTTGAGATTATTTTTTTAAGAATTCTTACTTTCCAATCTCCTGTACTGTTATACATTCTTTCATGAGGGTGAACCTTTTAGTTTTGTTTTTTTGGAATGGGCTTGAAATGAATCAAAAACTGTCAGAATGACCCAACAATCATTCAACCTATAACGACTATCCCCACAATCCCTACACGACACTATAAGAGTGGGGGCGCTCTCCTCTCCCTAAGACGCAAGGCCAGTTATATCGCTTAATTCCCGTCAACACTTAAAATGGCCCTAACAATTTCTGCAGATTCGAAACTGGACGAGAAAACATAAGTTCTAAGATAACTACGATCTGCACACGGGACAGAAGGAAAAGCGAGAAGGGGGAGAATGACAATAGGGAGTGAAGGTGGAAGAAGCAAACTGAATGGGCCAGACACAGAGAGTGTGAGCAAGGAAGAACTCACTTCTTCTTCGGGTCGGAAAAGCCCTCCTGTCTAGCACCCGGCCCCTCTCAGTTCCTATCCACTCTCTTCTCGTACGGGGTGTTTTCACGTACCTCCAGCTCCAGCTCCTCCGCCTGTTCCCAGGGCGGCCGCCATGGTGCTTGCCGGGATTGGCCTTCAACCTCGCCCCACCAAACCAGCTGGTGGGCAGACGGGCCGGGTCCGAAGACCAGGGAAGGGGGGAACCGATTGGGGGAAGGGAGGGAGCTGTGGGCCAGGACCGGGTGGGAGGGGGAGGAGAGAGGAGAGACCGGGCGGTTCGTTGTCCACACCGGCCCCTTCTCCTCCGCAGGAAGAAAACAACAAACTATCTCAACATGGCCGCTGATTTGGCTCCCGCCCCCGCCGCAGTGCACCCTGGGATAATGGAGGCCTGGAGGCCGGTGGGCGGGCGCGCGCGCGCGGGAGTAGTGCCTGATACGGTGCACCCGCAAGGGGCGTGGAAATGGGAGAGTTCAGGGGCTTGTGGGCGTCCGAGGTTGTCTCCTCTCCCGCAAGAGCCCAGGAGCTCTAATCCTGTTTCCAGGCGAGGGAGGGCGGGTGTGGAAGGGAAGAAAACGGTCGGCAAAGGTGTTGTATACTATCGGACTCCCTCCGCTCGGTTTCAGGAAATCAAATGTTTAAAGAAGGGGGAGGGGGCGTTGCTGGCCGTACTTTCTCGCTCGGGTTCTGTCGTGAGCCGTTTTGCAGCAGTGGATCCTGGGCTTTACGGCTGGCATTTCTCTCGTTGGCAGTGGGGGAAAGTAGGCCTTGGGTATTATGGTGGAGTGTGTGTAGTGAATCCAGTTCCTGCCTTTCGGTAGTTAAGTTGGAAGATTAAGATAGAAATAACTACAGTGGTGGACGTCGAACATGTGTATTGAAGGAGAGGAAAGGAAGCTAACGGTGCATGAGTACATAATTTTCTCAAACTTGGATCTGTGGGTCTACCCGGAATTAACAGGCATGCATATTAGTATTGCAAAAATTCCTTACCCTGATTCCAGAGATTTGGGGCGTTTGGAGTAAAAATCTGTATTTTAAACTAGTTTCTGTGTTGATTCTTAAGTACATTTACTGAGCACTCCCTTTTTTTAGGTATTGAAAATGAAATATGGACAAGACAGACCACATACCTACCTTCCTTTTTTAGTTCATGCTTTTGAGGAGGGAGAAAGGCTTAAAAACGAGATACCAATAAGGTGGTTGGGAGCATATTGGATGATGAGACAGAGTGATGGGGGAAAGGCCTACTTTGGATTTGGTGTCCAAATAAGGTCTCTCTGAGTTGTTGGCAATTGATCCGTTTGTGTGGAAATATAATTAGTTCTTTAAGTACATGCAAGCTATAAAGATTGATTCAATAACAATGAAGATTATGGGGAAAAGATGATTTTCAGGGAGAAAGAAGGCTTAGCAAAGGCTCAGGGATGTCAAATTACTTGACATGACTTGAGAACTGCAAACAGTGCATGTGGCCGCTGGAGTATTAAGTGAAAAACATGCTCAATAAGCAATATGGCTAGAAAGATAAGTAAGGACCAGAATGCATGAGGACTTTTGGACGTTTTTCTAAAGCTATAGGGAACATGGAAAGATTTTTAAAACACAAGTTCCATGGTGAAATTTGTGTTTTAGGAAGATGACTAACAACATTCAGAGGATGGGCAGCATGGACAGCTATGAAACCACGGTAGGGGATACCAGTTGGTAAACAATTGCAACATCCTTGCAGGAGATGGATTCGAGGATGGGTGAGGATGTTAGCTGCTGTGGAGCTAGCCCCCAACTGAAGGTGACTCCCTGTGTAGTTCAAACCCACCAGCCGCTCTGCGGAGAAAGATGTGGCAGTCTGCTCCCATAAAGATTACAGCCTTGGAAACCCTGTGGGGCAGTTCCACTCTGTCCTAGAGGGTCGCTCAAGTTGATTCTGACTCATAGCAACCCTCTAGGACAGAGTAGAACTGCTCTATAGAGTTTCCAAGGAGCAGCTGGTGGATTCAAACTGCCCACCCTTTGGTTAGCAACCGAGCTCTTAACCAGTGCACCACCAGGGTTCCATAGGGTCACTATGAGTCGGAATTGACTCATCTGCAGTGGGTTTGTTGTTTTGTTTAATCTTTACAGAAGCAGTTCACCAGGCCTTTCTTCCTGGAGCCGATGGGTGGATTTGAACCTCCAGCTTTGGTTCAGCAGCTGATTGCAAACTGCTTGCACCACCCAGCCTCACTAGAGGATGTATAGAGGGGTAGAGGTGTAATGAAACAAGCATAATAAAACATTAACGGTAGAATCTTGGAGGCAAAAGAATGTTTACTATAAAATTCTTCTGACTTTTAGATACATTTGAAGATTTTTGTAATAAAATGTTGGAAAAAAATAACATTCTTGGATTAATAACTAAGGTAAGTGATACATTCATCTAAAAAAATAATAATAAAAGCCAAAGGACAAAAAAAATATTTTTCTTTTGGTTTAGGCCTCAGAAATCACTACCAAAAAAAAAAAAAAAAGCCTCTTAAGCAACCTCATTGAATAATTCACCACCAGAAAGCACATTAACACATCTAGATTTAAAAGTCTGCAACCTCTAGTTGCTCTTCGTTATACTTTGGACTGCAGAGAATGGAATTCCTAACTCAAGATGTTTTTCAGGATGGTTTTAGTAGTGATCTTGATGAGGATGCTTCAAAAAAACAATTCACAAGATGAAACAACTTCTTAGAGACTTTGTGGCCATGTTATACATGAGGAAAGATACCTATCTCGGTTATAAACCACTTAAAACTGAACTTCTCTAGGACACTAAATTTTATCAAACACCCATTGTGTTATGGATTGAATTGTATTCCCCAAAAATATATAAGTGTACCTGTGAATACAATCTTGTTTGGAAATAGGGGTTTTCTTTTGTTATCTTAACGAGTCCATAAGATTCAGGGTGGGTCCTAAACCTAATCCCTTCTGAATAGTGTCTTATAAGGGAAGTACGAACACAGACACACACGGGGAAGACAGATGGTGTGTGATGATGGAAGTAGGTGCATCTATAAGCCCAGGAATCCCAAGGATTGTTGGCAGCTGCAAGAGACAAAGAAGGACCTTCCTCTAGAACTGATTTGGACTTCTAGCTTCTGAAACTATGAGAAAATAAGTTTCTGTTCTTTAAAGCCACCCATTTGTGGTATTTTGTTATGGCAGCCCTAGCAAACTAAGAAACACTGGAAAAACTTACAAGCATGTACATCCAATATTTGAAAATCTATTGATAACTTACCGTGAGTAAAGGATTATCAAACCCCCTTTCCTTCTCTCCAGACAACTTTCGTTCACTTTGGGATAACTTCTGATGCCCTATACACCTGATGAAGGTGGAATGTCAACTGTGTTAACAAATCAGTATTGCTTGTGGTAAAAATGATTTTCGATTTGTACACTGCTTTTGGCTTGAAAGGACTGAATAATCTTTAAACATCTGCTGGGAAGCCATACCTTTAGGCTTCCCTAAGTGTAGTGACCCTTTTAACTGAGTGTGTCCCTTGTAGGGACTTAAAAGATCCACTGAAGAAACTATTAATGAGAGATACTGGTTCTGTGGGTCAAGAGCTTCTAAGCCAGGGCAGCTCCCACACCCTCATCTTCTTGCACTAGTTGCGTTTGGGGGGCCAAAGAGTATAGCTGCTGCATGCCTGTGTATGCTGCCTGCTGGCACTGAATGTTTCCTCTCCAATACCCTAAATGGAGCTGCTGACAAATGTGGCATCACGTGAGTACAAATGCCTAGTTAAACCTAACAAAACTTCCTAGTGTGCACTGCAGTTGCATATATGTCCTACTGAAAAATCTTAAAAGCATAGCCTTTATTTTTAGATTAAAAAAATACGGACTTCTTCTGTCAGTATGTTCTCGTTGTTGTGTGCTGTATTGACAGTCAATTCCGGCTCATAGCAACCGTACTGACAGTAGAACTGCCCCATAATGTTTCCTAGGCATTAATCTATGAGTCGGAATCGACTCAACGGCAATGGATTTAGTTTGGTTTTGGGAATCTTTGTGGAAGCAGAGCGCCAGGTCTTTTCCCCTATGGAGTTACTGGGGGATTCAAACCGCCAACCTTTTGGTTAGTAGCACCTCCAATTACAAAACAGACTCTGCAGAAAATGTTTGTTTTATTTCTACATTTGAGGAATTTAAGGAAATCTACAAGGGATCAAGAAAAAAAACAACACTGAGTCAAAACCTGAGTAATAAATAGTGAGCATATAAGAAAGAGAGTGTTTCCCTGAAGGAAGCTATCCTTATTAGCACTGCTATTAGTAAACAAATCTTTGGACTTCTGTTGAAGTAAGAGAATCTGAACATGAGGCTGTCAAATTAAGCCAGAGAACCTGGAAGGGCTTCCTCAAATTATGTTCCCGTTTCTCACAGTTTAAGATCAAGCAAATATGAGCTACAATCAAAGATCACAAAACACTCAAGGAAAGAAATCACTATAAGTAAGAGCCAGAAAAATAAAAACTATAGATTGACCCCCTCCCCCGTACCAAGGATCTCAGCTATTGGAATTATCAAAAACAAAAATATATGAAATGTTTAAAGAAATAAAATCTAAAAATGAGAAATCAAAAAGAGATTGTTCGGAGTGACCAAACAGCTCTTCCTCTTCCTTTTTCTTCCTCCGCTTCCCTTCTTGAACAATTCAGTCCTAAAGCCATTAGGTGGGGTAGAACAAGGTGGTGGCATGGCCTGGGGAGCCGTGGTGGTCTAGATCCCAGTATCAGAGCCCAAGCATCTTACATCCCAAGTCCTGTAAGTAGGCTGCCCAGCACGAGGTATCCATGCTTGGGTAAGGAGTATGTCCCTGTGGATTGTCCAGCCAGAGTGGGGAGTCAAAAGTCTGAGCAGATTGAGGAGGGTATTCATGCACAGGGGTAGCTCAACATGGAGAATCACAACCTGAGCAGAGAACTAGAACAACCTGAGGTGTGGGCCCAGCATGGGGATTCAGAGTCCTAGTAGGGTGAAGTGTGAATAGCCACAGATAGGTGAACTAGGATGTCAGAGCACAAGCATTGTGAGACGGCATCCATATAGGTGGAAAACGGCATGGGGAATCAGCTTAGGTATAGTAACAATAGTATCATCATGGAAGGAGTGGTAGCAGAGATGGGGTATTGGTTAGGAACAGAGAAATTGATCAAATAAATATGTAA